GGGAGGAGGGAGGAGGGAGGAGGGAGGACGGAAGACGGAGGAGGGAGGAGGAAGAGGAGGAGGAGGAGGACGACGAGGGAGGAGGGAGGAGGAGGAGGAGGAGGCCGTGTCGCAACGGCGTTGGCCCAGGACTTGACCGTTTGGCGTGGGGGGCAAACGCTCGCTGGCAGCATTTGTGTGTGCCAGGTCCGACGAGGCTTCAGTTAGCCAGAGCTCCTGCTGAATAATTCACTTTCGTCGCGACCGTGTCAGGGATCGCCTTGGCCATCTCGCCATGGCGTCTCTTCCCGCTTCTAAGCCTCGTGGTGCTTTGACATGGGGATCGTGCGGTTGTGCCAAGAACTAGTGGTTTTGGAACTGGTGCACGACTTATGGGACAAGTTACAAAGATACCGCTCCATTCGGCAACTTCGAGGCGCAGTGGCTGGTTGCGAGGCCCCCCAAAAGGAAGGATACGTGAGGTATTGACACCTGGTTCTCAAGCCAGAGCCATGTTTCCCCTTTTTCCAGGATCCCGACGGCAACAAGAGTAATGGTTCCGTTCTGGACATCAATTCGCATATTATCTGGTGTGCACAATTTGGCTACGAAACAACGGCTGACGCCTACCGCTCGGTGCTGTCCTCACCTGCTCTTGTCTTGCAAGCCCCCATATCAGCACCGTGCAAGCGAGCAAGTCGTGTGTTGCTCCAGGCCGACAACACATTGCAAACCATGGTGGCCCAGTATGAGAATGTAGAAACGCAGCAGCATCTGGAGCAGCAGTCAACTTAAATCAAGGAAGTGTTGCGACAGTTACATCGGCATGAAGAGGTAGACTGCAATGCGGTCCAGGATTTGCACAGCGCACATATTGGTCCACGCCAGCCCATTCAAGAGACAAGCCGGATCGTCTTGGCAGCTATTATGGATGGACTGACATCTTGAGTTGCAGTTTGTCCAAACTGAATTGTGCGGGCTCAACGATTTTGTGAACCTTGCTGAGGAGGACAAGGTACAAGGTTCGAGCATAGTCAAGCCCCTTCAGCCTTCAGGATCCCCCCCGTGGCGCGACGCAGACAATGTTTGGCGAATCGAGGAGCAGTCAGAAGACCGTCGCAGACATCGTGACGAACATAAGCAGAGTCCGGCAAAGAAACGACGTGGCGATGATGGAGAACCCGTGGGAACAGGTAGCCAGACCCAGACTCAGCAGCCGGTTTCGGGGCCGGGTGCAGGCGCACAATCGGCCTCACCCAAGGACGAGCAAAAATATAAGATGCGAGCGAAGGCGGCGGCGACTGCGCAGTCAGTCCCGACTGCCACAGGCACTTTTCAGACTACCCGCCCTTTCGTTGAAGGAGGCGGCACAGGTCCAGATGGACCTGGATCCTAGCAAATCGTTTTCACGCAGTCGGCCCCGCCTCCATCGGGGGCCGATCAGTCGGCCCTGCCCTGGGTCTGAGAACGCAGAGATGGGGCACCGGGCGAAACCCGCCTCTGGACCTCGTGCAAGGTCTGGGGGCGCGGTGCCCTCATGCGCCAAATCGCTGGAGAGAGGAGTGATCTCACTACCGCCCCATCTGGACTGGGACAGCCCCTGGGGCGGGGACATCCCCGGCCCAGATTGCGCCCACCTCGACGCAGGTTTTCTTCTTCGCGCTCGTGCGCCAAGACCCAGCATCTCACCTACTTCGCGAACATCGCGCCCTGAGGAAGCCGGACTACCTGAACCAGGAAGAGGGGGAGTTCCTCCAGGCAGACACGGTCGTCGTCGCCGAGCACCTTGCAGCGCCCGCAGCACATCCAGGCGATCAAGAGGCTTTGCAAAAGTGGCTGGCCGGTAACCTCGCAGATTTCGGCTGGCACTTCCCTGCGAGACTTCCATGGTGGAGCGCGGGCAATGACGCGCAAGTGGCTTCGGAGCGCCCCGCTCTATCCAGTGGTCAAGAGGGCGGTGCAAAGTGATCGACGCGCAGGCGTCGTCGCCCCGCGGACGAGCCAGGCGGTTCTCGCGCGGCACATTGATGCGCTGTTTGTCGCTTTCTACCTGGTCGCGAGGTCTGGGTTGCAACGCGGGGGCATTGCCTTGCCGCCCTGTCAGAGGTGGCAGGGTACGTTCGGCCGCAGGGCGAACTCTGCGTCATCGCTGGGAACTGGATCCCGGTGATTAACGCGGCTGTTGAGGGCGGCATCCGCGCCCCCCTGTCTGCAGGGCGCCCTTCGCGCGCCGCCTGACGAAGTTCCGGGTGGAGCCTGGGCGAAGAATTTCTGCGTTTGCTCAGGTGCTTATAGCCTAACCCTGACTCTGCGTTGGGATCCAAATTCGGCTTGCGGCCTTTCCCGCGCAGGCAATGTGGGGACTCCCGATTACGTTTGGTTTGAGGGGCCCCACAGGGCCCCCACTCGCCCCCCCCCCCTGGTTCCTGCCTTGGGGCCCGACGGACCCGGTGCATTCCACGGGAATCGAGCGGCCCCTTTGCAGGCAGGCATGGAGGCGCCGGCATGGAGTCTCGTGGGCGGTCTTGCCCAGGAGAGGTAGGTCGAGCCCGCGTGACGGTCCGTTTCTCAGCAGAGCCTTTCAAAGCAACCAGGGATGCCACCGCCCGTTAGGATGCCTCGGACACGCGTCGAGGGTTCCATGCCGCTGCGCGGCGGGCCCCTGTTGTTGAATCCAAGCCGCAGTGTCGGCCAGCGGGCCTTTCGGATCTGTCAGTCTGGTTTGCCGTGCACACTCGTCTCAGCCCCTGGGCAGGACTCGCCAGGAAATCTCGGTCCGTTCCATCGGCGGCCGCGCCCTTTCAGGCTGCCTTGCATCGAGCCAGGCAGTTGCCGCGGCCTCCCTATGGGGAAAGGAAGAGGGAGGGGGCCATTGGATTTCCTTGGGGAGCTTGGGGCGCTGGCCTCCAGGATGGGCCTGGGGGCTGCCTTGATGCGCTTTTCTTTGACCCTCGCTGGCGCGAGGCCCACCGCGCTAGGCAATCGTCGACAGGTTTCGAGGAGCAGTCCATGGCCAAGGAGAGCGGGGCCTTTCGCACGCGCGCCAAAGCGCGGGTGGTCGAGGCCCCAATTATTCGCTCTGAGCGGGATGCCCAGAGAGACGTCGTCCACGATCCCACCGCGACCACGTGCAAGCCTAGCTCCAGGGGGCGGGGGCTCTCGGGACCTCGAGAAATCCAGGGCGTCGACCGGGGACCTCGACTCTCGGCTTGCGGGGGAACTTTCGGACCGGGGCGTCTCGAGCTGCCCGGGCTCAGCGCCAGCTCGCGGGGCGCCCGCTCCAGGATGCGCTTGAAACTGTTTCGCGCCAGTCGCGGGCCAGGGCGCAGCCCCCCCCCCCCCCCGACGGATAGGTTTCGACCCCCGCCGGATGCCCTCGAAGATTTGCAAGACCTCCTTCGGCATACCGAGGCCGATCTATCCTGGCCCCCGCAGGATCGCCCAAAGCATCTTTATAATCATCGCAGCAGACCGACCGATTGCGTCGACCCAAGGCCTCCATCGAGTGCGGGGCCGGGCTCGGCGGCAAGATAAATCGAACTGGACGGTGGAGCGGGCACAGTATTGGGATCGGGCGGCGAGGAGGTCGTCAGCTCATCGGGCGACCATTCTCCGCCAGACCCACTGCGGCGTTGCGTCAGCGTCAGGATTCAGTTAGATTCAGATCCTCTGGGACCTGCTGAAGTTCCATGTTAATCCGGACCTCCGCAATGTAGTAGATATACCGGCACAGGTCGACGACCCCCTCATGCCGCTCTGTCTTGCGCAACATGCGCACAGAGCTCCTAGACGGCCGCGCGCCCCTGGCGCCCCCCCTCAGCTTTTCCCGATGAGGAGTCTGCCGCCAGGGTGCTCTCAGAGCGCAGCCATTTCCGAAGTGGCACCCTGGGCTATTTTTGAAGACTCCAGTGCGCGGTTTCGTTTTCCCTCGCTAGAGATTTGGGTAGACGCCCTCCATCAGCGACGCGCAGGCAAAGCAGAGGTCACACAGCGAGGCAAGCCATCGCGGCCAGCATCGGTCTGGACAGCCAGCCAGTGCGAACTGGATTCAAGCTGTCGGGAGTCAGGCCCCCCCCCGAATCCCTTTGCCCTTGCCAATTGGGGCCCTCGAGCACGTCTCCCTCGACGAAGGCGCCGCGGAGGGGGGGCCCAGGTATCGGCGCGGTCGGTGCCGGGCGTTCAGCGGCGACCCCCGGGCAGCCTTTTCACGCCTCGCTCCACGGGGCCAACGGGATCAAGCGAGCTGTTGAATCCGATTGCACGAGTAGGACGTTGGCCAGGACGTGCCGGCCGGCACAGGCGCTGGGGCTTGAAGCCCGGGGGGCCATTCTGACCTTGGTCCCCGAGGCCATGGCGGCCATGGCAGGCATTGCGGGGAGACGGGAACGGGTGTTGCGCCACTGCAGTTCTGCGCCGCGCGTTTCAGCGCCCCCGCCATGAACGCATGACATCCACGCGTTTACGCGCGCCCGAGGAGTGGATTGTCCCAGCCCCGGGCCTGCAGCGGGCAAATGAGCACAGTGTCCGAGTTGCTTGGGGGCGGGCTTTGGACGCGCTGCAGGGTTCCGACGCGCGTTCTTTATACAGAAGATGAAATAACGCTCGCTGGTTTCATAGCCGCCGCAGTCGCCTGCCTGCTGGAAGCAGCATGGGCCACCCAGAATCCCGCCACATCAGCAGACGATGAGGTTCCCGATGTTCTGTCCTGCGCCCCCGAGGGCCTCGCCTTCTGCCTGCTCGGAGCTAGGAGGTTTTAGTATCGACAAGCCAGTGAGCGCGATCACGGCAGCAGCATTGCAGGTAGAGCAGGCGCGATTGTCCCAGTACACACACACACACACACACGCACTTCGAGGAACCGCAGCATATGATCTGGCAGGTGTCCCGGACATGATCCATGCAGGGGGCCCTCTGGCCAGCGTCCAGACTTTCGGAGGAAGGGGCTCGGATGCCTTTCGCCCTTTCACCTAAACTTTTGACCTTCCCCCGGCTCTGCCTCCTACTCCTCCCCCCAATCTCGGAGTGAAAGATGAAGCCGATTTCGATGCGTCGCTGAAAGAGGCATCCAGGGCAGAGGCCGACGTAGAGCAGACTGATATCTTAGTGTTTGAGATGATCAGGATTCTATCACGGGGCCGACACTAGTCTGGACCTCCCCCAGTTGTCCAGGGTGCGGAGCGCCACTGGGGCCCTTCTCCACCTGTTTTGGCTGCGCCCGCTCAACGAGCAGGTTCCAGGTCTCGCGTTGGCACTTAGAAAGATATAGAGAGAAGAGAGATAGAGAGAGAGAGAAAGAGATATAGAGAGAGATAGAGAGAGGAAGAGAAAGAGAAAGAGAGAGAGAGAGAGCGGAGTCTGTTTCAGCGGACGTCCCTTCCTTTTGGCGTATGTGCTTCCACCCCTCGAGTTTGGCCTATCAGCATGTATGCGCCCTCCTCCAAGGGTCGTAATGTCTCAGCCCTCTGCATCTGGTGCAACCGTTCCAGCATGTGGCGGGCATGTGCGATTGGGTCGGACGGGGCGGGGGGCGAGGAGTGGTTCGATCCCTGGCTTAGGCGTGGTGGCTGGGTCTTTGACAGTTTGCGAGGGCCCCTGAATTTGGCTTGGGGGCGTGGGCCTCTGCCTTGTGATCAGGAGACCGTCCCTGCAGCCCAAGTTGTTGGCAATGGCCCGTGCTGTTCCGTTAGTTATCAACTGGACATATTGAGTGCGCAATCGATTGCGAGCGAGTTGCAAGAGGCACTCGTATCGGGCCCAGGCTTCAGCACGGGAAGATCGTGCGATGTGGCGCGGTTTCTGGGCTGCCGCAGGTTCTCGGCCGATCGTGGTCCACAAAATCCGTTCTTTACTGGCCCTGGCAGGTGCCCAGACCGTCTGACCCAGCCCAGAGGCAAGTGCCGCGCCCGGCAGACGCAGTTGCGGAGGCAGGAGCCGCACGTGCGCGGACCCCTGTGCACGCCAAGCGCGAGGCGTTGGAGGCTGATGCGTTGTGTTCTAAAGTTTTAGATTCCCTATCGGTGGTTTCGATGTCCCTGGCCCCGCAAACCCCAGCCTTGCATGGAACGGCAGCCAAGGGCAACCGTCAGGAGGAGGCAACCATGTCCCCTGGCCGAGCGCGCCAGGAAAAAGCCGAGGCCCTCTCTGAACGAGTTGCGTCTTCAGCCCACTCGGCGGAGGAAAGGACCCAAGCTCCATGGCGTTGCACTGTTGGTTTGCTCATCGATCGGGGTGGGAGAGAGGCTGTCCTGCGCTCCCCGTGGCCAGGTCGTCCCTCCAACATTCATGTCTCCCATCGGCTGGAAGCTTCTCGAGGAGCCTTTTTGTGTCAGCTCTGTGGAGGTTTGGGGGTGCCGTCGAGGGGCAAGATGCTCAAGCTCGGACGATTTTGCATTCCTGGCCTCACTGGTTATGGGAGGGGAGTGTTGCGGGCCCTGGAGGCAGGAAAGCTCCCCCTGATCGGAAGACTTGGCCAGAATAGTGGACTAGGCCACCTGCTGTCGCGGCCTCAGGTTCGAGATGTCGCCCCTGGTTCTTGAGGTGATGCAATATTGATGGAGGTGGCAAGTCCCATCCGTTTCTTTTCTTCGGAAGCCCTAATTGGAACCACCTCCGATAACAGGCAAGAGGCAAGAGGAGGAGCAGGCAGGAGGAGGGGGGAAGGATAACGAGTAAAAGGAGGAGGGGCAGGAGGGGGAGGAGGACGGGGCGACAGGAGGATGTTGAGAGAGAGGATGGCGTTGATGGGGTATCCGAAGAGGAGGACGAGGGAGCGGATTAGGTGGAATTGGAGTGAGTGGAGATCGAACTTGATTGGGAGGATCGGAAGGGAGGAGGATCGAGCTGGAGGTGGAGGAGGAGGACCAGGCGTGAGGAGGCGGCGGGAGGAGGTGGGGGAGAATCAGCAAGCAGCAGGAGTAGGAGGAGGAGGAGGATGCGGAGGAGGACGAGGACGAGGTGGAGGAGGACGAGGAGGAGGAGGAGGAGGAGGAGGAGGAGGAGGACGAGGAGGAGGAGGAGGAGGAGGGGGAGGAGGGGAAAAAGGACGAGGAGGAG